GAAGACTCATCTATTTTATGATGATTTTCTTGAATTCAAGGCAACAATCTTTGTGTGAATTATCAATAAATAAGCATTAAATGTGAACACAAGAGATGCACCTGGTATTAGGTATTAGGCTATTGGATACGAGTGCCAGTGTTCTACCGGTGCAGCGAAAGCAGTGCCGGTCTATCACTAAAATAATTGATTGAAGCGTAAGAAGTGAAATGTTTTCACCTGGTTTTGCGTTTAGATATGAGACTACACTTTATACGTGCGGATCACCAAAACACGTGCCCCTAAATGAATTGACTGGCACTGCGGCCACGCTTCCGATCGTGACATATGGAGCCAAGTGTTCGGCTCAACCACTCTCTGCCACCGCCGGTGCAGGACTTTACAGGAGTGTATGTTTGTATGGGAGGTATGAGTGCATTGAGTGGTTGTGCTGTTTATTTGTTACACGCATTCATTTTCTTGGTTTGGTGTACGCGTCAGTGCGAGTATATGTGAGCACTCGGCGCGTGCAGCAGCTGTAACCACGAGTGCACACATTCTTACGGCTCACGTCTAAGTAATACCAAAAGCCCATAGCTTTGGCCCCCATTTCTATGGATGGGATGGTCGGACCTCTAAGAAAACCACCTGTCATTACACTACAAGTCTTGCCAAATGGGCCCATGTTTTAGCAAATGTTAAGGAATTGCGCTTCATTTGCCCCAATACTTGTACCCAACACTTATATTATTACTTCATTTGATTATTGTTTTTCAAACAAAAGTCAGCAAATTTTTTAAATTTTAAATTCAAAAATATATGTATAGAGAAAATAGGATCGAGAGATGGTTTATGCGCCTGTAAAACATGTTCTGCTGCCCATTCGCTAACTTGATTCTCAGCCCAACCTTATTGTGTAATATATTAAATATTACTCGCAAACATTGTATAAACGAAATACAAGCTTAAAAATAATTTAAGATTTTAAATCAATACATAAATAAGAGATTAGATGTAATATAGACGTGGGGTTCAAATGAATTGAAGCAAACTTGGACTCAAATAACCCTTAAAACTAGTCGTTCCTACTGTTTGTGTGGATAAAGAAACACAAAAATGTATGCATTTCTGATGGAAACGTGAAGAGAGAAGGAAACGCGTGTCGAACACCACTTTTGGGGAGAATATGTCGCCAAAGGAAATAATAGATACGAAAACTAAGGTTTGGGTCTTAAGGGGAGAAATAAGACTGTTTTGCATTCAGATTGTATACTAAGGAATGGAAGTGTGGATCGAGAGGACCACCTGTTCTGCACGCGTCCACAGGACGGCCTCATCAGTGACTGGAATCACTAATTTCCACAATTCCTTTCCAACAACTCATTGAGCGTTCAAAATACAGGTTCAAAGTATTGGTGTTTGTCTTTAAATTTTATTACTTCTTTGAATCATACGATCGTATGTGTGGTTAGACTGAGAGTCGGTCTCGTTTTTGTTGAGTACATCTCTCCCTCTCCTATACCCCTGCCGTGACTGAGAAATATTTTTTCTCAATTAAACTCAAAAACTAAACTAAACTGTAATGACTTGAATAGAAGCGCCTAAAGCCTTAACTATAATAACTCGTAAGCATCGACTCAAATCTCTGGCACTACTCTTTGAACACCTGACCCGTAGTCGAGATACAGTATAACATTCACAACAACTCATAATCTGTGTATAATTCATATATAGGGATGGATAGGACGGACAGGTTGTGCATAAAGTATAAAACAATGAGTTATTTTACGAGTTAAGCAGAATTTGGTGGAGTTTTTTAGTTACGTTTTGTGGACATTAAGCGGTGATTAGCCCTGACCTCCACTTCACTTCATAGAAAACGTTGTTCACAATCACATTATGTTATGCACAGTATCTGCAAATCGGGTCGATTGCCCTTTCAATCGCTTTTCTTTGTCCTTCTCTTAGAAATTATACCACAAGTTATTGAACCATAATATCCGGATAGGAATGAGAGTCAATACTAACAAAAGGGTCTCAATTTTGAGTAGAAAAAACAGGTGAACATTACTTCCAGCGGAAGACTCAATAATGGCAGTTATTATCAATACTCGTTATTATTGGCAATATTTATAAGTTAAAACATATTGCAAATTACTGTCAATTTATTGGTGTTGTTAATCATATAAAAATAAAATCACATTTAAATAAAACGAGTGAAATATTAAGCACTGACTATAGACCTGCAAAAACAGGTGACTATAAGTGTAAGTCTATTCAATCCTACATTTGTCTCCGCAGAAGTAAAAGCAGAGTTTTAGGTATCGTTTGACTGTGAGGTCCACTTGTGAGCCATTGCTCAACAATAAGATGTATTGAATTTGATGTGTTTTGAAGTAATTTTTCTGTAAGATATCGATCCATACAATATTCATCTCAACCCTCGACTTACCCAAAGTCGGACTGTTTGGGAGGGGAGGGGGAAGGGAGGGGACGGCAGGTGCGCTCTTTTTTAAGCTCAAAAATTCTTCTCTCTTTTCCTTTTATATGTCTTAAAGTGAAGAAAAAACCTCAAATCTAAGCGCAGGTAAACTTTTCTAGTCTTACTCTTTTGTCCTTCGTATATATAGATGGTATTGTTCGCTGTCCTGCCTGTGCCTGATTGTGACCCTGGACTCAAACAATCCCATTGTTAGATATAAGTTACTCTTCCGTTGGACTTAAACAAGGAATGTATGCACCTTACAGTCCCTTCACCACCACTGCTCACTACAGTGTACACACATATACTGCTTGTATTGCCTCACAAAACCATACAGGTATATGTGTCGCACATCCCAACCAATGCCCAACTCTACTCAATGTACAGAATATATCTTAACGTATATAAAAATATTTCAATAAATCTTAAGGAAGTAATTTAGTTAATGCACCGACTCTTCAAAGAGCCATATGTTGCTAAATGTGTGTCCGCACTGTCAGGACTGTCAGGAAATGTTCTCAACCTTTACTAAAAGGTTTAGCGGAAAAATTGAGATTAAAAGGGAAGAACCGATTAGACGGTTGTGTAACTTATGTGATAAAAGCTACACATTTGGCTCTAATTTATACAAAACTGTTTAAATATTAGGAATGTTATACCGTTTACTAATTTATCATACAGTATAGCATAGTATAGTATTTCATCCAATTTAAAATATTCCACAACTTGTGATCGTGAAGATCTAGACACGTTTTTGTGCAAACAAATTATGGCATAAAAAGTCTGCATGATCATTTGTCTGGTCCTTTTTAGACTAGACTCCAGAGAGTCTTGAATAACATTTGAGTCAAATATTTCGTATGTCGTGTCCATTGATGTCCATTGATGTCCGCCTTCTCTTCTATTCTTTTATAGTTAAGCAAAATTCAGTTCACATTTTAATGCATTGTATGTATTGTCGTGTAAATCACTTGCAGAAGAAATGATCGGTAGATTTTTATACGATGGTAAGCACTGGGAGGGACTGTTAGGTATGTAAAGCAAAGAATTGAAATTCCAGCGCAAAGAATAATAGAATAGCATTGAAAGAGGAATAGCAGGTTCTCTACACTTTTTTGTGGACGACAAACCCACTTAGGAATGCCTGTGAAAAACATCATCCAAACCATACTAACGACTGAATTATAGCACATAATGGCATCAAATTGTTTTCTTCCACTACTCTATTCCTACTTCACAGCCCTCCAGGCGTTTACCTGTCCTCTCACTAACACATTCACTGCTTATATGCGGACAATATGTTTAAATAACTAATTAAATGTCATTTTTCATTATTATTTTAAAGTACATTAAATATTAATCATTATTAGATATCAAAATAAGAGATTATTTTTTCGGGATTTGTTAAAAAATTTTCAAAACCCATATAATAAGAGTCTTATGAATCAATGACTACTGTATTACAAAAATTCATTTGAAATGAGAAATTATTTTTATTAATAAGTTTTGAAAACTGATACACAGAGTAAGAAATATTGCTGCAAAACACCTGTTGCTGTGTTTTGATGGTGAGGTCAGTGTAGAGTCGGTGTGTTTCGGTCAGCCTATCATTAGTGCTCAACACATAATCTTGCGATAGGAAGAGCTCATAGCCTACAGTGCAATGCAATTGAGTGTCTTATCCATTGACAAGTGACCACTCCTTAACAAACAGTGCAAACCATATGATTCATTGACCCCTTCCCCTACTCTACCCGCAGAAAGTGAAAGCAAATTCACTCTTGATTTACAATTTACTTCTTCAGTAAGAAAGAGATAAATTTGCGAAAGACTTCTCACAGAGATTTAAGACATGCATTAGTCTTGAGTGAGTGTTGCAAAGAAATCACTGGTTTTCAAGGCTAGAGAGTGGTTGTCGTTTATGGGGTAATCGCATACCAAACCCCAAACACACATCGATAGCTACAGTACAACTCAAATATACGTTATAGTGAACTGACAATTGTGTTGATAATGTTTTTGCTCATTCATTCAAGTCTTGAGATGACTTGAATAGCATGAGATGAATATTGATCGCTGCAGTCATCAGTCGTCTCTCCATTGAAATTGTGTCATAAAATGAGACACTAGTAGTAAAAAGTGAGGCAGTCTTTTGGCCGACCATCCACTGCACCGAAAGCAACCAAAAGCAACCAAAACCAAAGCCATCAACCGGTAGACCATCTGTGCTCTCATTTTATAGAGTAAACTCTTTTTTAGATTCACTTCCAATTCACTTCGATATGCATTTTAATGCACATAACTTTGTTGTCAATGAAATGATGGATCCAATGGATCCCCAAAGGGTTGACTACTGTTCCGCTCAATAGAACCGCGAATGCCATCAAAAATTCTAATAAAAGGTTTGCATAAATAGAGAAAAAATAGCTATGAATTTATAAATATTCTCACGCATTGAATGATGGCATTCGCTCATCAATACCCCGGTATATACTCTGTATATCGACACCCGGTATATACTCTGCCAATAGTTTACATAATGTATAGTTAAATATTAATAACTATTCATAAGCTTTTTTACGCCATTTGATTGGCTGTGAAATTATTTGTAGTAAATATCAATTAGAAATGATCGCCTTTTCAATCATTAAATTTAATTCGCTTTTCATTAAATTTATACCAATTTAAGTAAATTAATAAAATTCTCATTTATTGCCTTTATTTACGAGACACGAGTTGTGACTACACCTGTTTGTAAGTAATACTTATTTAGATTACTCTCAGTCTCTCTCTCTCTCTCTCTCTCTCTCTCTCTCTCTCTCTCTCAAAAATCGCGAATGTAATCATACGAGACTTATAGCTGTTATCCCAAACCCAATAATGTCTCATAGCTTTATGTGATGCCTATTGTCATTCACAAGTTGTAGATCTCCCCTAACAGAGTGGAGAGAGAGAGAGAGAGAGAGAGAGAGTTGAGAGCAGTAACTATACTGTAGTGTCAATCCTCTGGTAGAATACAAAGCAGCTGTTATTCCGAGAGAGGGGAACAAAAGTGAATACCTGGCTGTGATTGGGTCGGCTTGTAGTGAGTGAGGTTGTGGTTGGGGCCGAACCAAGTGGTCCGTCCACCTGCCTCTGCAACTGAATGCCTCTGGACTCGACTCCATTCAAAGCGCATACACACAGAGTTTATATACACAGCGCCTACTGATCAGAGTCTTCACTTGACGTTCAGATCTCATCGAAACCTCTGTTCAATCATTTTTCATTGCATTCTCGCAACACATCTACGGCTCAATCACTATAGAAGTGTAAAACTCAAAGTACTTGTGTTTTTAAACAGCATCTCTTAGACTGTACTCCAGTGCCAAAAAATTTGTGTTTCATAACTCGAGCACAACATCAGTGCCAACAATGCCCCGATCATTCCTCATCAAGAAGTCCTCCAAACTCGTCAACAACTCCATCATCACTGCCAACACATCGCCAATCAATGGATGTACCGACGATGAGGAGGAAAATAGTCTCTCCAAATCCAATGACACCAAAAATGTCATCGATTTGTCTTATGGTATGTGTTGTAAACTTTTAGTTTTAAAATTTCTTCTAAAAAGTTTCTTATTTTTAATTTGCGAGCGATCTTTGAGTTTAGTGTTAATATTATTTGTCACATGTATTTAAGTTGCTGTTTGCGAATAAAATGTGGAGAAATGAGTGATAATTATAGGATTAATGAAATTATGACCTCAATAGCGAAGGACAGGACTAGTAATCGCGATAAGACAGAGCCGACAGCCTTTGCCCGCATTTATGGCAGTGTCTGAAACATGCATTAAACAGTTGGACACAAATAATTAACAAATACTATAAGTTATAGTGAAATAAGTTTATGGAGAGAAACATAAACTAAAAGTAATTGAATCAACAAATAGAGGACAAAAGTGATGTTCGTTAGAGAGTAATGCAAAGACTGTTAATACTGTTAACACTCATAACACACACACCACTAACACCTGCCCTACAAAACACAACAGCCCTAACAGTTTTGGTTATGTTTTACAAATAAATACCACTTGAAAAACATAATCAGAGATGAGAGACAAATAGAGGAATATATAGCAAAGTGTAGACAGAAAGACACTGTTGGCTGAGGAATAACACTGTTTTGAATGACAGGTAAATCTAAGCCCAAACGGCACCGGCAGCTGCCAGACACACGTCTCGATACAAGGTGTGAACCTCTGCCATAAGCCGTCGACAATATCTCCTCAAAACAACTGATATATAAAAGATAATTGAAGTCAAATATGATTAGTATATGATTGCAATACAAGTGCTCTACAATTGTGTATTATATTCACAATTATAGCGATTTTTATGCACACTTTTTATCTCATTGTCAATAAAAAGTTTCATTTTATCGCTCCATATAAAGCAAATATCATAAATCTATTCATTAGTATATAAACGAGAAATACTATTGTTTAGGTACTCAATAGTCCGCTCAGAACTAACTTTGTTATGAAAAATATGTAATTCCCGATAAAAACTAATAGAAATGTTATTTAAACGCTTGTATAACAGAAGGAAAGCCCTTTGATCTCAGCATCAAAAGCCATTCACACAGACAACTAAACATTGGTCTCAAGAATGAGAGGACCAAAACCATACAAGAATATCCCAATTTATACGCCACTTCTCAGTATCAATCGCTTCAATATCTGCATTCATTAACGAGTGCTAAATGTCTGTCCCCTCAAAACTACTCACCAAATGGTGACCTCTCGAAGCCGGCGCTCATCCCATTGGAAGCCATCAATTCAAGTCTTCGTTTGTCGCCGTCTTCGTCGCCGCATCACATCTCACGACACTTGCAGTCGACGGCGCCGTTCATGACATTTGGATTTGGAAATTGTGCTAATTTTGGTTACAATGAGAACAAGAATGTGTTGACCTCTCCATCGCTATACTACCAGAATCGACACCTCGATTATCCCATATCTCCACCGCAGACACCAATTCTACGCTCAGACCGTTTAGTACCCAATAATTATAGTTCAAGTACTTTGGAGACCAGTCCTCGCCATCACAGCCGACACGCAGTCGTATCGCCGGTTCACTCAGAATACAGACCGCAATATCTGTCCTCCAATTGGAGCGAACATTTGCCTCTCAAGACCGCCAACGGATCCCTCAATATATCGTCGCCGACGCCGAGTCTCAATGGATCAGACGATTCCGGTCGAGGAAGTGTCCACTCGAGAGGTTCGGTGGTGTCGAGCGAATCACACAAAATGGACAAAAATGGCAAATCACGGAAACCAGTGAACTCGGATGCGAGTGGGACTCGTTATCACTGCACGGATTGCAATAAAAGTTATTCAACATTTAGTGGTCTCTCAAAACATCAAGAATTTCATTGTTCAACACAAACGAAGAAAGCGTTCAGTTGTAAGCATTGCGAAAAAGTTTACGTCTCATTGGGAGCATTGAAAATGCATATCAGAACCCATACGCTTCCCTGTAAGTGCAAACTCTGCGGCAAAGCCTTCTCCAGACCCTGGCTATTACAAGGTATGTCCACTCAAATCAATCGCACCAATCAATGTGTCACTCAATCTAATCATGTATTCAATTTGTCACTATAGGTCACATCCGTACTCATACGGGAGAAAAGCCGTTTCAGTGCGAGTTCTGCAGCCGAGCGTTTGCCGATCGGTCTAACCTGAGAGCACACCTTCAGACCCATTCCGATGTGAAGAAGTATAGCTGCAAAACGTGTAGCAAAACGTTTTCGCGAATGTCTTTACTATCGAAACACGAAGACGGCGGATGTGCCGGCGCTAACCATAGGGTCCAATAGTTGTATATCGTTTTTGCTACACTTCATCACTAGTCCACAGTTTAAATGCCACTGTTTTTCAAATATATTTCTATTAAATTTGTTTGTAATATAAAGCATATCTTTTGTGTGTGAAAATTCATATAAAAATGAAGTTCTTCTTCTGCACCTAAGAATTTAATTCTTATACAATTAGACAATAATTTTATGTTTAATTTAGTTGCATATAGTTTAGCGCTATAATGAAGTGAATTCATAGTGCCATCAATTCATTACAATCTTAACGATTGTATTAATTGTTTTATCGTTTTAATTATCTTTATATATTTGATCACAATATTCTGTAATTATACTACAATTTATCGCAACTTATATATACATAAATTTTATATATTATATTTGTTATTAAAATTATTTTTCAAATGATTAAATCATTTGTTGAAAATCTTTCTTTTTTACAAAGAAAATCTATGTTTAAGACAAGACATAAGAAGAGCAAAAGTGAACCCAAGTATACATACAGTGAATATAAATCTAAGCCCTGAGGCGCTAACCATAGGGTCCAATAGTTGTATATCGTTTTTGCTACACTTCATCACTAGTCCACAGTTTAAATGCCACTGTTTTTCAAATATATTTCTATTAAATTTGTTTGTAATATAAAGCATATCTGAAGTTCTTCTGCACCTAAGAATTTAATTCTTATACAATTAGACAATAATTTTATGTTTAATTTAGTTGCATATAGTTTAGCGCTATAATGAAGTGAATTCATAGTGCCATCAATTCATTACAATCTCAACGATTGTATTAATTGTTTTAATTATCTTTATATATTTGATCACAATATTCTGTAATTATACTACAATTTATCGCAACTTATATATACATAAATTTTATATATTATATTTGTTATTAAAATTATTAAAGTTTACTAATTTAGTAAACAACTTTTAGAAAGAAAAAATGTTTCTTTTAGATACAAATTCTGTTCTGTATTCTTCTCGTTTTCACTTGGGTTCATATGTATGTCACTTATATTTAGATTCGGGACAGAGCACCTGTCGTTAAGGTCACGACGTTTATTGAGGCGCTGACCAGACTATCCACTGTTTGCTTCTTATAAGTTACACAAAACTATTTAACATTAGCTTTCGGCTCATTATTAGCGCTAAGTTTTGCGAATATATCCAACGTTTTGAAGTGAAAAATTCAAATATTTTTTTGAGTCAATCATGTAATCATCAAAAACAGGTTAACTCACAATTGAAGCACACGTTTGAGCGCTAAACTATTTAAGGACAGGTGTGACGGGCCTTTGACTGCCATATATTTTTGATTTTTATTATATGTTTGTTTGTCTGCCATAAAAACATAAGTTTTATGTTTAATTTTATGTTTTAATTTCTAGTCGACTTTTTTTGTTTATTAAATACGATTTTTAGTGTTTGATATTATATGTATTTTTTGCAAACATTATTTTATAATTAATTTATCGCACAAACCGTTTACCAGTAGTAATAGATACTCAAACTGGGAACTATGCTTGGATTTGCTCAATATATTGTACAATAATATAATTTTTATTATTTGTATTTTATATATAATTTAAATTAAATTTTATTTGTATTTTATTATTATTGATATATAATTTTGTAAAATTAATTTTAAAACGAAACGAGAATAAAATTTATTAAAGACTAACATTTTGTTGATCATTGTTTCTAAAATATTAAAAATAGAGCTAAAATATATAGCAAAAGCACCTGTAGGTCGTGTAAGACATCTGGCCGTATATCAATCGAGTGGACCTTTAAGGCCATATTTAAGTCAAGGCGCCTAATGTTGAGCCCTGTCTGCCCCTCCACTCACTACTGGCCTCTTCTATTAGAAGCCATTCCTCTAACACTGCAGTTCTGACATCAATTGAAGTGACGCTAAAGAAGGGGAAGAGATTCCGTACAAGAATTGCACAACACATAGGGTTTCTCATTGAAAGATGTGTGAAATGGACTCTCGTGTTGAATGGATTCATGAATTTTAAAGTACTAGAAATTTTATTCTATAATTCTATACCAAATGAATGTCAAACCAAATGTTAAGCAAATAAAATACAAAAGAGTTGAACCCTTTCTCTTAAAATACAATCGTAAGTGAAGTGAAGAGTCGCTGACAATAAAAAACAAGAGTTTTTCTCACAAATCTTGTAGTCATTCATACGTTTGTCAAATTTTTTCATTTATTTTTCTTTATGTTCTTAACTTGTGATCCTCGAAGTAGTATACCGTTTACCTCTTGTACTCGTAAAGGAAACGCAAACTTCCAACTTGTTTTTAATTTTCACCATAAGTTATACATTATTCAAAATGCCATTTTAATTTTATATGTACCTGCACTTTGTATATATTATATTTGTAATAATCTTAGATTATTAGTCAATAATTAAATTGTCATTATAAAATAACAGCACAAACATTATACAGCATAATATTTGTAGGAATGCACTCAAATGTATAATATAGTACATAAACAAGGATCACACGCGAAGCTATGCGTTAGCCACAATTCGGGAATGCATCAAAGATGTCATCGCAAAAAGCGTCGAGATCCTATAAACCATATTGGTAATACTGAATTGTGGTTAAAAATATATTTCATATTTTGTAGAATAAGTAGTTAAATAAATGAAAATAAACAAATCATTATTTAGTGAAAAACCTAAGTTAAGAGCTTAGCTGGTCTTGAACTTAAAACCAACTTAACTAAAAGAGCCTTGACTTCAAGTTTACATTTATGTCCATATTATGTATTGAGATTATTGTACTGAATATATCGAAATATACCCGCATTTCCTTCACAGACATGGAATGAGTAAAAGATAATATTTTAAAAAATAAAACCTTATTTCAATATCCCGTTGAGATATTGAAAAATCATACGATTTCTCAAATGAGAGCCGAGTTTTTCAAATCTAAACACCGTCTCAAAGCGTCCGAAGAGACTCTCGAGTATATGTTTGTCAAGTTTGGCAAATATTGAATACTTTAATTTGCATAAACTGTTTGAGCGCTCTTTACAACACCTATTGACAAACGGCGCCCTTCTATGCCATCCAAGCATTCTTCAGATCTGATTAATTTACTTGAATTTATCAAAAATCATACACTATTTTAAGGGTTCAATCGACCTATTCTTCCATAACCTTACAGTCAAACACATCAATATTTCATATCCGTCTCGCACTCAATGGTCGACCCATTTTCTAATTGCCTCAACAATTGTAGTCTTCTTACACAATAGTCTGCACATCACATCTGAATCCCTATGAAATATATATTTTATATAAGAATTGCACGACTTATTTGTGTCCCATAGACCATAGTTTGGTGTATTGTCCACAATATCATTAGTGAATATAGACTTCTGTATCCAATCTAATAGTTAAATCAAAACCGTTTGAATAACGTTATTAGTGATTATGTTTATGTGAATTATAAACTATTTCTTGAATTTGTCAATACTGGGGGACTATTATTAAAATATATGATAGAGATATAACACAAATATAACATAATTGACTTAACGTATTGTGAAGCCCTTATGGACTCTATCTCCAGATATACGATATCTAATGATTTGTTGAATAGAATGGTCTCTCCTATAGATCTGTTGACATTTCACATCATAGATAACAATCATTCAATTATATAACGCAAACAAATATTATGCCATTAGTGAGTGATTTCTTTTTAAATACTGGAAACTCTCATAATTTGGAAGACTTTAAACAGGGAATGAATGAAACAAAACTTATAATCAAAAATAAATTATTGCTTAAGCTTTAAAAAACTGAATACAACGAAAAAATAAGGGAAAGTCTTTGCGTACTGTGTTTGCCCTCATATATGACCGGAAACTCATTTAGGGATATTTGTTCACTTTCTCTATGGGTTCAGCGATATATACCATACCTTTGTATATCACCCACATATCCATCCGATATACCTGTGTATCGAATATATCGAAAACATACAAATATTCACTGCATATCATTCAAAGAAAAGGAAGTGCTTTTCCTTTTTGCCTAATTTCCAAATCCATTTGAATTATATATTTTTAAAGGTTAAGCGACGACGAGGTCAGGGGTAGGCGACCGACGCCTCAATTCATGCATTTGCCTATATATTTACATAAGTCTATATCAATCAAATGGGATGTTATATAACGACGTTCATTATATAGAAAGTGTACGGCTCTTTTATCTTCCAAAACTTACCATAAAGTTAGTTACTTACCAAAAAACTTAAATTATAATAATTAAATTACAAATTACTGAATATGAATGATCACTGGTATGAATGACATCATAAGACAAGTTGAATTACATCAATTAATTGGTGTAATTTATTTGTGTCATTAGCGCCGACCACCTGCGCCCACACAATCACTCCATTCAATAATTGGCGACTAAAATGTTTTTGAACTTAAAGTTAACACTGAATTCTCGATAAGTCTGATCCAAACATTAGTATTTATAAATAGTTTTTGGACAGTTTAAAAGTTTTACAGATTCTTTGCAAAATTCATCACATTATAGACTTAATGTTAAAACTTTTAGATTATTCTATGTTAACGTCGAAATACAATTGTTGAGAAGTGCAGTACACATACAGCGGGAGTCCATTATTAATGTTGCTGTGGTTCACAGTTTGTACAAAATATATTCACACTGTATTTGTATAAAAATATAGTTTTTTGTTAAATACAATATTTGAATGCTTTTGAATCAAATGCCAACACATATTTTGACCACAACTTCTCAATCTAATTGATAAACAGGTTGCGGACATATTTTATAAGATATCACCGGGTTTTCAATTCTTTACAAATTCTCAATAGATTTTACTTAAAATAGTGTATAAATAATTTTTCGTAAATATGTCTAAATTTTTGTGTGCTTTCAAATATATTTAAACTATAATTTTTGTTTAATTGTATTAATGACATATGCAATGACATAACCTCTTCTAAACAACTACAGTATTAAATATGGGGAACAATCATAATATGAGT